AAAAAGACCATGCCATTAGTTGTTCGAGTAAGCTATACACATGTGCATAAATGCACAGGCATTTATAGATTAATATCATATAAATGTGTACATACATTGTGTTGTAGTGTGCTTAAGTATAATTATGATGACATCATCAACAATAGTTTAGAGATTAGGGGGTCAAAGTCGTTTAACAGATCTACGCAGTAAGAAAATATTTGGTTAAGAGGCAAGATAGAGACAATAAAAAAAAGGGGTTTGACATGTAAATAACCGATAAAGCCTTAAGGAAGAAACAAAGAGGCGCTTCCAGGAGGAGATAGCAAATAGAAACCATGACAAAGGTCCCAGTGACAACAGATGCAACAGAGGGAAGGGAGTGACAGCTCTTGAAGTGGATGAAGCAACATACGGGTTGACTAACAGTCTAACACATGGCAAGGCCATGGAAGACGAGGGGATAGTGACAGGGCGTGCATTTTGTGCGTCCTTATTGTGCAGTAAGTATAATTTAGTTTATAGACTGAATCAGTTTCCAACCTGGATTTATTCAATTTCCCCAGGTTACATATGCTGGTATTTTCACCTCGAGCAATACATATTTAACTCCACGAGTGGTCAAAGACAACTGTCTAAAACAATTATAACCTAAAACCTTAGATACTTGATTGTTTAGTGAAAGAAATCCATCAATAACATAACAAGTACAGAAATAAGTACCTAGTTTCATTATAAGAGCCAAATACACTTCAACATAACAAGTACAGAAATAAGTACCTAGTTTCATTATAAGAGCCAAATACACTTCAAAAGAAAATTATACGCATGGCTCTCGAAGTCTAGGCATTTTCGCAGAACAGGATAACAAACTTGGCATCAAAACAATGTAATTTAAAATGTCTTAACACCCATAAGCCATAGTCTATCACTGGAGCATATAACATGCCTAAGAGTCTAGGAAAACAGTGGGTGCAAGGAATTATTTCACCAGTGGGAGGGCACTAAATTGAGCAGCTAGTGAAGTTGTAGATTTAAAACTTGGACTCAACTAAAACTAATTGTACGAGCAAGTCATTAAACTGCCTTCTCCGCTATGTTTCATATAACACAACTTGTACAAGATATTAGCATCAACCATCAAAATACAAATATAACAAAATATCCCTCCTCGCAGACAATAGATAATTCTACTTCAGACCCAAAATGATACTGTTTACATTTTTACACAGTTTATGGAAATATGTCTCATTGTTGATGGAAAAGGTCAAATTTAATGAGTATTTCCCTCCTATTTTTTTGATACTAAATAGAGGCAAAAAAGAATGCATGTACTTTGACAATTCTATTTAATTTAAAAATGTCTCTCTTCATGGCACAATATAAACTAGTCACGTGGCGGAAACTGAAAAACCCAAGATTATATAAGGAATATTTTAAGATTGATCCTAAGCATGAAATTTATCATACATATTATACAGTTCAGATTTTTAAGCAATAAAATGTCCACGTTTGAAGTAACAATAATATGGTATGTATCAAAGTCCCAATTTCAAGTTCAATGTCTCATCTATCATTAGGTTGGAATTTTTCATACGTTTTGAAGTGCTCGGCTTGTCTTCTTGTAAGATCTATATTAAGCTGCATTAAGCTATGTTTCTAATTAAATCCAAACTGATCTTTAAGAAGTTTGGCGAAATGGTTGAAGAAGAAAACCCTGTGGTATAAGTTCCAAACTGAAAAGCTACTGTCACATGGAGAAGAAGACCAAAAAAATAAAGAATAGACCCGCGCTTGCAGAATGAACAATCCCATACAGCTATACCTGACTAGAACATTAGCGGCTTCATCATAAAAACTGGGACTAGGAATCCAGTAGCTGTTTGGCTAAGCTTATTTCAAAACCCCGTAAAATACGACTGTTTCACAGCTTATAAGATACCAAATAATATGTTAAAAATAGAAGTGTATTTATTCTCCTCTTTACAATCATCCATATGTTGTCCATTGCAAATAGAGCCGGAAGAGTCATTGTTGACAATTCTCCTGGCATAGTGCTAATAATGGATTAGATCAAAATGGCTCAATTAAATTCTAGTGCTTCTTCTATTAGTGAAGTTTCTAGAAAAAAAAAATATATCAAACGGCGCAATGCACCTTGGATCGCTACAGAACAGCTTCCTTGTAAATTACAAGGATAAGGTCTGCGTACAATTGACCCCCCAGACCCCAACCTGTTGGGAATATACTGGGTATGTTGTTGTTGTTTTACAATCATCCATATGAATATGCTCCAGCTGAAAGAACTAAATGATTAACTTTGGACACCTGACAACTGCTGTACAAAAATTACAACTAGAACCATTGAGTTGCTACAAAATCGTTAAAGTTCATTTATATGGTAAAATGCATGTACAGAGTCCAAATTCCACATAATTTGAAAACAAAATATGTCACCAATTATTAAATCGGGGGAAGAGGGTGCGGTCCCACCAGATGAAGCGCACCATAAGAGGGTGAGCCTAGTTGCAGTGAGGTTCCATCCCAAAACCAATTGGTGATGAGAGGAGTAGCCCACTAGGCTTATAAACTAGGCTCATTTACCCTATAAAATCAATGTGGGACAACTCACAAGTGATATTACAACACCAATCCTCAATCCACCCTGTGCATACGGCACAATTTCACCAGTTCTAAGTTCTAAAAACCATTAAAGCTCCCAAAACTAAACAATATTGAACATCCGTTTCAAGCAATGACAATTCAATAAGATTCTTTAATGGACCAAAATTAAATAAATGTCAGCTCATTCTGAGTTCTAACAGTGCAGTGCCATTTTCTTTCTTGTTCAACTTTTAGACAACAAAATATTCAGTGTCAGCAACACTCTTCTTCCCTGGTTTGCCTCCAACTGCAACTTTTCAGGCCCAACTGCCAAATATAGAAAANACCAAAAAAAAAAAACACATATATATAGAAATATATATCTCGCCTATGGATAATACCAAATTGAATCGAACTTGACTAAAAACTCCAGTCAAAACAAAGCCAAAAGCTAGTCATAAACACATCAAAACGGTAAGTATGGGCGTCGTTTTACGAATCAACATACCATCCGTGACTACCCAAAGACTCGATCTCCTGTTCCTCAGAGATCGAGCCTCGGCTAGCTAGTCAGATCGGCGCCGGACACAGGTCGCAAACTCCGATACTCCCCCCGGTCGGCCGGAAAAAGAAAAACGAGCAGAAAAGTAAAGCCCCTTTATCTCCTCCGGCGACAATTCAACAGCAGCTGCGGCTGCTTCAGCTCCAATTCTTCGCCTCACCCACTCTAAAAAACACCAAAAAAAAAAAAATATGGGTTCTGTGCGATTTTCCTCTGGGCGACTATGGAGGATTTTTTTATTTGGATTTTCTCTCTCTAGAAATGCGTTTGTGCGCCTGTCAATGGCTGGTCAGCTGGAAAATGTAGAGTCCGATAGAGAGAGAGAGATATTAAAATGGCACTTTACACTAAATCCGACATTAGGGGCGGCTTTTAATTTGTCCAATTATGTTCTTGCGTTTGGGTTTAGTTTTGTTGATTTACGTATTTGCCCTCGATATGATCGAAGATATATAGATTAACTCAACTGCTATTCACCGCCCCCTTTTACGCCTTCCATTTACTCTTTTGTCCTTAACTTTCTTTTGGATTTCATCTCTCTAAATTTTCAAACTTCAACGAACGATTCGAGCATAAAAAAAAATCCAAAAAAATGACGAAAAAATTCTACGGCATCGGCAAAGGACTCTTCTCCAACAAGGTAATTTTTTTTTTTTTTTT